GGGGTTTAGGGGTTTAGGGCCTTGCGGGTTGCTCTCAGGTCTCTTAGTTGGGCAGTTGAATGTGATTTTGGGGATTGGAAGAGTCTACGAAGAAGCTCATGGAAGAGGATGCCGACAGGCATTCCTTCTTTTTGGGTGATAGAGAAGGCTTGCTGGGTACCCCCCCCAAACAGGTAGGATACAAGCTGGTGGGCTATGATTGTTGTGCATCCGTCTATGTCAAGCTGTATTGTCGAGGCTCGATGTTGAGCTTGGCGAGCTTCTCTGTTTCTTCCTTTTTGCATGTCTTTCCTTCGTCCTCTCTCGTTGCCTATCTTTTTCTCTCTTTTTCTCTTCCTTCTCTCTCCCTCTCACACTCCCTGGCTATCTCTCTCTCTCTCTCTCTCTCTTTCTTCATTTCTTCTTCATGTCTCTCAGCTGATGCTATCCCGCATGATTAAGATTGAGTCCACATACAGCGAAACTTTCCCAAACTCGCAGCTTCGACTCTTGGTGTCTGCTCCCCTTTCCATTCCTTTTTCTCCGGCGCCTTGTAGAGGGACCAGGCTTATACCCAGTGAAGCTGTCAATGCTGAGAGGTATCAGGCCATGTTTGAGAAGCCGGACATGGACCAGACGAGACCCTTTGCAAAGATTCTGCGCCCTGGCCTTTACCCAGACCCTCCTATGTAGTCCTTCTTTGGGGGCAGTAGATTACGTACATGTCATTAAAAGGAACCACATCGAAGCCCCTGGGTATTTTTGCCATTGACCCTAAACCCTAAAGTAACGCCAAAATTGCGGTTTGAGATCACGGAGATATGTAGGCTGGCAGTTCAAGGTTTAGGGTTGATAGTCTAAGGTCCTAACCATGGGCCCCGACGTCTTTGCTGGGTCCTAACTGTAGGCCCTTAAGTGTGCGGGTTTATAAGGACCCGGGGATGAAGGGCCCATACTAGGGGGCCCGCAGTTTAGACCAGATACCAATGCAACAGCATTGCCAATGTAGAGCCGTATAATACTACAACTGACCTTCGCTTAAATCTTTCATGAATGACATATCTGCATATAGATACTCGTCCACGGAAATTCAAACAGTTCCTTTTAAGCTTAATGTACAAAGCTTTCTGATCCGGGGGAAAGATTGGTGGATGCGCATGAGAGGAAGTGCTGATTTGGGTTCCATAGTGCGCTCTGCTACATTTTTGCGGGATCCTAGGTCCTAAACCCTAAACCCTATGGTAGTTTCCATTTTCTTTTCAATTATCCTAATAGAACCCTAATGCGCACACGGTCCATCCATTCAAGCTGCTGTTCTCTCCTGGTTTCGTAAACATGCGCGTAGAAGTGCGTCTAGAAGCTCTTCCACGAAACCCTCAGCCCTGAATCCAAAACACTAAACCCCAATTCCTAAACCCTAAACCCTCAATCCTAACGCCTAAATCCTAAACTCTCAATCCTAAACCCTAAATCCCAAACCCTGACCCCTAACCCCTGAACACCAGCAAGCTATCCCGGGTTGCTGTTCAGGAACTTCGATTAAGTTACTTTAACTAGGAAACCCTACTGTTTACTATAGAACCATATTGTGACAACTTCGTTTAAGTTCCTTAACAGGACACCAGCATCTTACTGTGTAAGCATATTATCATAACGTATTTTAAGTTCCTTAACAGCAACCCAGTATTCAGACCCCCTACAGGATCCAAAAAATGGAACCCCCTAATAATCCCCTAGGTTCCCCAATGTAGTAATGGGTTCATATTAAGGGGGTTCCATTTTTTGGATCCTAAACCCTAAGCCCTAATCCCTAAACCCTAAACCCTATATACCCCTATATAGACCCCTATAAACCTCTTTAAGGGGTTCCATTTTTTGGATCCTTTAGGGGGTCTGGGTATCAGGATGACCTTCTCGCTGGGCTTCATCTTCATGCCGATGTGGCCTTATGCCATCCTGTCACTCGAGCCATGCTTGGTGGTTGTGGTGGTCAGGGCTCTATTTTAGGGTTTAGGATTTAGGGTTTAGGATTTAGGGTCTGGGGTTTAGGGTTTAGGATTTAGGGTTTAGGATTTAGGGTTCCGCTGGTTCTTAGTGGGGTATACAGTACGGGAGTACATTATACAGGGATTATATGGGGATTATGTTCCCTTATTTCCTACTAAGAACCAGTGAGTATAGGCGAATACATAGGGTTTAGCGTCTAGGGTTTAGGGATTCACGGGGATACATGGACCTGCGCTGGGATATATGTGCTGACCCTCCCCCCCATGATCCACATTTTCGTG